TGGGGCCTTCCAGGCCTGGAGAGACATGGGGCTGCTGGGGACTATCGGCTCTGGACGCAGCAATAAAACTCCACAGGGCAGAGCAGTGAGAGATCCCAGAGGGTTGGGGGCAGCCACAGAGCGTGGAGGGGAAGGGGGCTGCAGGTCAGAGGGGAAGAAGCCCCTCACCACCCAGATTTGGGGTGCGACATCCCAAGCTGTGGATGATGGGATTGGGGAGCTGTGGCCACACCGAACTGGGAGAGCTGGGGGCTTCAGGACAGGACAGGGGCATCGAGGATGGGAACCCACGGCCAGGACCCCCAGGACCCAGGAGACCTGGGATCAGCTGCCAGCTCCACCAGCCCCTATGCCTCCCCTTCTGCGGGCTAATTCCTTCGGGCCCAGCGGGAGGGACTGAAGCAGGAAGGGTTTTGCCAGCTCTGCAAATCCCCTTATAAATAGCTCCCCTTTCTCTGGGCCTGCTGAGCTGGGGCAACTCAGGGCACGGAGGCAGCCAGGTACCCCTCCCCATATAGCCAGGGGCTGGACCAGGCCCCTCCAGCACCCCCCAGACTCCAACAGTGCCCAAAACAGACACCTGGGTTCTCGTCCTAGCTTGGGGGGGGGGACAGGGTCTTTAGGGTCAGAAAGGGGGGGTGCACATGGGGGAGAAAGAGACTGCAAATCTGGACTCCTGGGTTTGCCCCGTCACCTCTTTCTCGGCTTCCGGCTCCTGTCCAGCCCACCCCTGGCTCTGGGGCTCTTCCGGGGCCGCTGCCCAGGGAGGCTTTTCCTGCCAGGATTGCCATGGCAGGCTTCCCAACGTTCCCGGACACACGGCAGTCTCTGTGCTCACTGAGTTGGGCACACCCCTTTGCACTGGGCAACCCCTTACCCGCCCAGCTGGATCAGAGCCACCCTCCCCTGCTCCTGTGAGCTGACACATCCCACCCCAGAAGCAGCTGCATTTCAGGTGGAAGCTCCCAGGAAAAACTGCCAGCGAGGCTGAGAAGAATCCGAATCGGGGAGCTAGGAACCCCCCTGGCTCTGCCCAGCCTGGATCTAAAACCATTCTGCAAAGGGAAACGCTCCCCCAGGGCCGCTGGGACGGAGCTGAGCCCCGAGCAGATTTCCAGATGGGAAAAAGCTGGGCAGAGGGAGGAGAATTCCCGCAATATTACACAGCCCTGCCGGTGACACAGCCAGAAAGAGAACCCAGGAGTCCGGGGCTGGAAATAGAAGCCAGGAGGCCTGAAACCCAGCCCGGTCCGTGTCTGACCCTCTAGACCTCACTTCCCTCCCCCTCCCGGGGGTAGAACCCAAGAGTCCTGACCCACCCCCTGGACTCCACTCCCCTGCTTGGACAGGACGTCAGCTCCAAGCCTGATGTCATGCAATGGAAATCGCCAGGGAGGCATCGGGCCGGCACAGCTGGATCCAGAGGGCGGGGAAGGATCTACTGGAAACCCTCTCCCCTGGAAGGGGGAGACAGCAGGTGGGGGGCAGTGCCCAGGCCCAGCTGGCTTCCCCACTGTGTTAAGCCCTGGCTGGAAGCACCACAGCCAGGCCCCCCAGCAGCTCCCAGCTGGTGCCCCCCCCCAGCCTACAGGCCCTGCCTGCTAGCCTGGCCCCACGTAACATCAGCCCCACAGCTCCCACTGCTCCTGCTTGCCAGCACCAGGCCTGGCACCCACCCCTGCCCACTGCCTGAACCCCATTCCAGCAAGGGCTCCCCAGCTCAGGGTGGGGGGCAGCTGATACAGTGGAGACCATCCCCCAACCTTCCCCTTCCAGTGCCCAGGAGCAGCCAAAACACCCCTCCCAGCCTGACATCTGACAGCTGGGCACCCCAGGCTGGACTGGACACCTCTGACTGGGACCCTGGAGCCCCTCCCCCTGCCTTGAGGGATGAGCTGAGGACATGCCACGGAGCCGAGGACGTGCCACGGGCCGGCTCAAAACTTTACAGCCTGTTTCATGACTGCAGAATCCAGGCTGGGATTTAGATGGAGCTGGTTGCCCAGGGGACACCCCAGGGTGGACATGGAGCCCAGCACTGGGACCACACACCCTGGGCAGCCTTGGAGAGGGGGGCACCTAGCAAGCATGGGCCCAATCCTTCCAAGGGCACAGTTCAATGCAAGCGGCGGCGGGGGGGGGGGGGGGGCCCAATTCTCGCTGTATTTGCCACGAGGACCCTGTCACCATCAGGCTGACTGTGGATAGGGGGCAGCCCCCCCACCAAGGGGTATTTCCAGGGGGGATGGGGGCAGCAGCAGGCTGGCAGGGGGGTGTCAGTGCAGGGAGTGAGGGGGCCAAGCCAGTTGGCTGCCTCTCTGAGACCTCCAGGGAGGGGATTACCGGGGATTAGGCAGCAGCAGGCTGGCCGGCAGCACGGCTGGAGCATTAGCATGTTAGCTTAACCCCCCAACCCCAGCTAAAAATAAAAGCAGCCTGCATGTATGCACGCCTGCATGCGTGGACATGTGTGTGCACGTGTCTGTGTGCAGCTTGCAAGGGACATTACCAGGGATATAACATGTGTCATGAAAGGCCCACCTGAAAATTGAAGCCCTCTCTCACACCAGAGGCTACACAGACGCCTGGCAGAGCGTAGGGGAAACTGAGGCATGATGGCTACAGCTGCTTTTCCCAGCTCAGCGGGACGGGGCAAGGATGGCGACAGGGACCTCGCTGGAGGCAAGTGGGCGTGGGCGATGCTGAGGCAGGGTGGGGGCACCACCTTCTCGGACCCAGCCTGGCATGACAAACACCCAGGCACTGCCCGAGCGAGTTCCTGCGCCCATGGTACGCACCATGCTGTATTCCCAGGGGCGGGCACATGGGCTGCGCAGCCGGCGACAGTGGCAATTAGCTCTTATATAATCCACTGTCATTAGTACGCCCACGATACCTGCTGCCCCACGCCCTCGGCCAAGCATTACGGCCCCTTTGAGAGGCAGGGGAAACCGAGGCACAGAGACATATCCCAGGGTTAACCGATACCTGAATGGGGAACGGCGACCCCCGGACCACGCTCCCTGCTCCCAGGTCCTGGCCCCCGCCCAAGCCCCCTCCACTCAAGCCTCAGTGATGCGGGGTGGGAAAGCGGGTGCGGCGCTTGCCTGGTGCTGCGGCACCCTGGGAAAACACCCACAATCCTTTGGCACCCGCAGATGCCGGACGGGGGAGAGGATGCTGGGATCACCCCGCAGCCCAGACCAGCTCTCAGTGCCCGACACCGCCCCGACGCGCACCCAGGCACCCGGCTCCCTGCTCCGACCACTAGGCCACGCGCAGGGCCGGGCTGGAGGCTGCGCCCCCGGACCCTCAGGCTTGGCTCCGACCCCCGAGGCGCGGGGGAGTCGTGCTGCCACCTGTCCCCGGAGAGACGGACTCCAAGTCGTGGGCCGGGCTGCCTCGGGCCCCGC